ACTCAAGGAATGCACTTGAACAAGAGGCGGCCAAGGAAGCATTTCAAAGACTCCCCAAAGGCTTAGCCCAAGAAGTACAACATAGATGCCAATGTGTGAAGACCCTCGTTCAGAATAATTGACTTGGAGGAGCTTCTGTACGAAGGGACACGATTCTTTGATAACACCAGGCAGCATGTGGAAGTATGGAAAAGGAACTGGAGAAAGGAATGCCAGTGAACTCAAAGCTAAGGACTAAATTCCACCTCCCAGAAAGAATACCTGCCAAACGTGTGGTCAGAGATGGGGCTCTGGGATAGGGCTCATTAATCCAACAAAGACCCACAGAACACATGACCAGTGGCTCACAATTTCCTGGATAGTAAGTCATACTCATTAGTGAGTGATTACCAGTGATTCCTGAGTCTAGTCCCATTGTTTTTACAGTGGTATCCAGCTGGCAGGCAAAGCTTTCATCTCCCTGTCTGTGAAATTGTCATGCAGGTCAAAATTAAAACAGGAGGTACAAATCCCTTGATGCAGACTCAGTTGCCTGTGTTTGATTAAATGGCTATTTCACTGCAGACTGTTAACGTTTATTTACTTTAGTCTTCTAGACTTATCTCAATTTAGTTGGAGTTAGGTGGTCCTGGCAAGAATTTTAATCGATTTTAAAAATCACTTCAATCCAAGAAATGTCTCTATGTAACAATCAGATAGAAATTAAAATTCAATACTCCATAATTATCACTATGATAATAACAAACTGAAGACTCAGTGGCAAGATTCTTTCCAGCTACCTGGACAGGTAAGTTGATTTTGTAGAAGTTTGGCCTTGAACATTTGTGGAGCTGCTTCATTGTTAATTTGGCAGTCTCCTCTTCCCCCCCACCCCCAGACTCTCCCCCCATTATGTTGGGGTATCGCTGATGAGAATTTCTCCAGTGCTATGTGTTGCTGATGCACAGTGCCGATCTCACTACAGTAAAAGGGTGTTGGGACAACAGTTGTTCATTACCCTAGGAGTTTTATGACTTGTAGAGGTCTTTGTTGTCAAACACTCATGTCACAGTTTGTGAAAGATGGATGTGGTTTACCTGTTCTTGGATCTCAAAGGTTGCCTTTTGAGATTGATAATCTAGATGCAAGCCAGTTGGGAGACAGAACACCTTCATTTCTGGGTAGGGTTTTTTTAACAACATAGTCTTAGAGTTTCTTACAGTACCAGAGTGTTACATGTGCTTTATATTTTCTTTCTTAAAAATCAACTTGTTTGAAATGTTATGACAATACTGCAGCAGGAGGGACTTGAACCAGGCCTCCTGACCCAGAGGTAGGGACATTGTCACTGTACCACAAGAACTCTCACCCTTTATGTGCAGACAGTTTCTAAATTAACCTATTCAGAGATATTATTACACACTTCAGAATGAGGTGGGACTTGAACCCAAGCCTTCTAGCTCAGAAGTAAGGACATTATTAATGTACCGCAAGAGCCCTCTGTCTTTATATGGATGCTCAGACCATTAATAACCTTAAATAAAAATACAATAAATAATATGATTCAGCAGATATTAGCAGGGAAGTGTCTGCCAAATTATAAGAAGTGTTCAAAATATTTCCAAGTCTCTCCTTTAACATGTGTGGGAGGTCGGTGACTGGATGTGGTTTGATAGAAATTGTGTTTTAGCTCAAAAATTTATTGTATGCAGAATTGGAGAGATTGAGAATGGCTTGCAAACCTGATGCAAAGTGGCCAACAACCTTGCAGTCACCACAAACTGTCAATCATGTATCTCTCCGCTGGTGCATTAAGTTTTCTTTTTCCACAGAAGAGACCGAGATTAAAGAGCTTTCAAACTAACGCAGTTTTTAAAAACACACAGCAAAAGGTCAGGCGATTCTGGAATTGAAAAAGCACTGCCTAATGGATTGTGAATTTTTACAGGTGATCATACTGCTTTGTTCGACATCAGTCCTGATTTTGAATGTCTCTTTCGGATCTGTCCTCTCTCTCTCTCAAGACAGTTGCAGTCATCTCATCATGATGCAATTGTTGGATTGTGATAACGTTTAGACATCCAATTCATATAGTCCACAGTGCCTCGCAGTTTACTGAGTCAGAGGTTTTGATCCAGTTCATGAATGCACCGAAGAGTTCCTAGTGTCATTCCCAGTATTTCTCTTGCATTTGTCTTGCATCAAAGATGACATTAGACATTCCCGAGTCCATACTATGGCCTCTTCGAGGATCTCCTCAGTTATATATAGGACTCAATTCAGGCGTACCTATGCTTGAAAAGAATATTGCCTGCCAGGTCCTGTTTTTGCAACTTTCAAATTGATCAGCATTCCAGAAGAAGGCAAGGAGAATGCTTCAAAGATCCTCTGAAGCAGAACGTGCATTTACGGGAACAAAATACACAGAGCAGGTGTCACTCAGGATACTTTTTAGAAACAAAATTGGAAAACGCCAGAAATATTTCTCAACTTTTGTGCATCCAAATTTCTTGGCTCAATTTCACACTTATTTTTGTGCAATATAGAGATTTTCAGTTTCAGGTCTGGGAACAGCAGTGCAATGACTCGTGACGATACTATAGCTTTAAGTGTCTATTTTGTCCTTTTTTTAAAAACATGAAGAAAGGTTGAGACAAAGGCACTGAGATGTCTGTTCCCAGCCAAAAAGTAAACAACTTGAGGCTTTGTTTTTTTTTAAATGTTGGAACAACAGAAGCAGCATGTAGGCATGCGGTGAAGCTCCCACACAACCAGGATTTTTAGTTTGAGCTGTCAGCAGTTGCTGGGTTCTTGAAGCTAGATGTGGAAGCTCTTACTCCTCTCTCCTTTACAGCTAAAAGCTGGGCTTCTCTTCCTGCTGCTAGGATTGCATGTGAGACATTTGTTTTACTGAATTTGCCTTTGCCAAGGGTGTGTTTATGGGATGTTACTATATTGGAACAGTTAATTAGTAGTAGTTCATGTATACTATTTTTTGTGAAGCATTTTGATAGAGTTATAGTTAAACCAATTCTTTTATTTTGTTTTGTCTGTATTTTAACTGTAGCGTAAAACTGAAGTGTGTTTTTCTTAAAGTCGAGCAGGTGAACAATCAAGTTACATCTAGAACGCAATGCCTTACACTTATTTTTTAAGTAAGAAAATGTTGGGGTCTAGACTATCTTCTTAATATATTTTGAGGGGGTTCGGTCTGAACCATAACAGACTGGATATGCGTTTGCCTACAGGGATCAATAGAGTGTAATGGTTGAGGAAATTTTAGGGTAGTACACTTCTCACACCTAGCATGCAAGTTTCTTCAGTTCTCTATACCAGATATCTGTTTCCCACCCTGATTGCATCAGCCTGTGGATATAAACAGCCAGGAAGTTGCACCCCTGAATATCTAAGAAAAAATGCACATTTTCTGGCTACGTTGTTTGCAAGTTAACCGTCTATTTTTCTCAAACCTTTCACTAAGGCTGCAGTTGTGACCCTGCATCGCTTGAAATCTTACAGCAGAAAAATACACCGATACAGTCAGTAAGGAGAGCCTCTGCTCCCACCTGGTGGACACACTGAATAATGCAACAAAGTAAAATCTAAATGCCATCAAGAGCTCTTGTGGTACGTTGGCAGTGTCTCTATCTTTGAACCAGGAGGCACAGGTTCAGGGCCTACCTGCTCAGAACCTAGAACAGTACAGCACAGTACAGGCCCTTCACCCCATGATGTTGTGCTGACCTATTATCCTACAAAGATCAATCTACCCTGCATACCCTACATTATACTATCATCTATCTATAGACACCATCCACAGCTTCTGAGGTGTGTAACAACATCTTTGAACGGGTTAATTAGAAACTCTAAGTGCAGTGAAAGCTAATCACTATGCTGATTCATAACAATTCTGATCTGATCTCTTTACAGTAGCAGTTTCTGTTGATTTAGTCCTGCGTGGAAAAGAATTTTGAAAAATCAGCATTCCTGACGGCAGATTGTAGAACCAGGAGGTCGCTCAGACACCCCAGCCTGTACTACCATTCCATGAGATAAGGGCTGACATGAATGCCTAACTCCATGTACCCACCTTTACCCATACCCTATAATACCATTGTTTCTTTTTTTATAAATCTGCCAAACAAACAGTCTCAAATTTAAAATTAACAATTGATCTAGCATACCCTTTGCAGTCAATGTTTTCAAACTTGTATCACACTGTGTATGTAAAGGTATTTAGTGACTTCAATCATTCTCACTTTTAGGTTATAACCCCTAGCCCTAGACTCCACATCCAGCAGAAATAGTTTCCTTCCATCTAGTGGAGATTAAAAAAAGTCATGTTAGGGGTAATGTATCTATTGACCTACAGCAAAAAGTGATTTTAAATGGGCCCATTTCTTAGGGGCTGTGTTGTCGTGGGACCAAGAATGATATATCTGCTATGCCATAATATCCAGTGCACCTGCTTTGAACGTAAATGTCTTTCTGGCAATCCGAGTGAGGAGGAGTCTGGAAAATTTTGCTTTAAAGTATCATTGACTGTTTAACATATTAGATGATCTCCTTTGGCATTGCTCCAAGACTGTTTCCTTTTTAAGTTGTATATCCACTTGCTTGCCTTCGCCGTTTGATTCCTTCTGTGCTCTATTTGTGATACATTTCTTTTCCCTGCTTCCCTCTTTCCCACTTGCATGGCCCCAATGCAGATAGTGATTTTTCCCTGCCTGATAATACTGGAAAGATGCATATTAGACAGCAGTTTGTTTTATATTAACAGGTTAAAATTATACCACAGATATTGTATCAGCCATGTATTATTATTACTAACCTTGTGTATCTAGAGCTCTGGCTAGAGAGGAGTGGGAAGGCACCTCTTATAGATGAGCAATTGGTTGTCACACCGTGAACTTATATAGGCAAGCACCGTACTCTCCAAAATTCAAGATTGTACTTAAAATTTTACACACTCCTAACTAAATTGCTTAGGCATAATAGAGACACTTCCTCTCTGTTCACAGACTTTACAAATGGGTATCAAGCACTTTTCGGGACTCTTTGTGCTGCTGTGTATTGGTGTCGCTGGTTCCCTCCTTGCAACAGCTGGCGAGCATATAATCTACAGACTAGTACTTCCTCGGATCAAAAAGAAACCAAGACTAAAGTATTGGCTCCATACAAGCCAGGTAGGAGCCAATGGAAATGTACAGTTTCCGCTGAACCCACATCATGTATGAAGAGCTCTATATTCTTTGTTTGCAGAAGCAAAATCAGTGATGAATTGGCTGGAATGAAATGACCACATTCCTCCCAGGATCCAAACTCCTTACAGAACTAACTGTAAGATTTTGTGTAGTAAAGATGCTAGGAATTGCTAAGTAATAATGCAAGTGCCCAGTGTTGTAAAGTGAAAAGGTAGATGAATGTACCCTGACTAACGTCGACCAGTTTGCAATAATCCTTTGGATTTAAGGTGTGGTACACAGGGCAAACAGACAAAGGGGGAACAAGAGTCAGCGAAAGGTCCAACACAGCTTTATTGGACACTTTATCAAGAAAAACAATATTTATCAGTCTCTATTATTGTGATTTTATTACTTTATTCACAGAATTCTTCAGTAAACACAGTCTTAAATCTACATTAACTATTTACTGAGACAACAAGGTGCAGAACTGGATGAACACAGCAGGCCAAGCAGCATCATAGGAGCAGAGAGGCTGACATTTCGGGCCTACACCCTTCATCAGAAAAGGGGGAGGGGAAGGGGGTTCTGAAATAAATAGGGAGAGAGTGGGAGGCGGATAGAAGATGGATAGAGGAGAGGATAGGTGGAGAGGAAACAGACAGGTCGAAGAGGCGGGGATGGAGCCAGTAAAGGTGAGTGTAGGTGGGGAGGTAGGGAGGGGATAGGTCAGTCCAGGGAGGACGGACAGGTCAAGGGGGCGGGATGAGGTTAGCAGGTAGGAGATGGGGCTGCGGCTTGAGGTGGGAGGAGGGGATAGGTGGGAGGAAGAACAGGTTAAGGAGGCGTGGACGAGCTGGATTGGTTTTGGAATGCGGTAGGGGGAGGGGAGATTTTGAAGCTTGTGAAATCCACATTGATACCATTGGGCTGCAGGGTTCCCAAGCGGAATATGAGTTGCTGTTCCTGCAACCTTCGGGTGGCATCGTTGTGGCACTGCAGGAGGCCCAGGATGGACATGTCGTCTGAGGAATGGGAGGGGGAGTTGAAATGGTTCGCGATGGGAGGTGCAGTTGTTTATTGCGAACTGAGCGGAGGTGTTCTGCAAAGCGGTCCCCAAGCCTCCGCTTGGTTTCCCCGATGTAGAGGAGGCCACACCGGGTACAGTGGATGCAGTATACCACATTGGCAGATGTGCAGGTGAACATCTGCTTGATGTGGAAAGTCTTCTTGGGGCCTGGGATGGGGGTGAGGGAGGAGGTATGGGGGCAGGTGTAGCACTTCCTGCGGTTGCAGGGAAAAGTGCCAGGTGTGGTGGGGCTGGAGGGGAGTGTGGAGCGGACAAGGGAGTCACGGAGAGAGTGGTCCCTCCGGAAAGCAGAAACGGGTGGGGAGGGAAAGATGTCTTTGGTGGTGGGGTCGGATTGCAGATGGCGGAAGTGTCGGAGGATGATGCGTTGGATCCGGAGGTTGGTGGGGTGGTACGTGAGGACGAGGGGGATTCTTTTTCGGTTCTTATTGCGTGGACGGGGTGTGAGGGATGAGTTGCGGGAAATGTGGGAGACACGGTTGAGGGCGTTCTCGACCACCGAGGGGGGGAAGTTGCGGTCCTTGAAAAACGAGGACAGCTGAGATGTACGGGAGTGGAATGCCTCATCCTGGGAGCAGATGCGGCGGAGGCGAAGGAATTGGGAATAGGGGATGGCATTTTTGCAGGAAGGTGGGTGGGAGGAGGAGTATTCCAGGTAGCTGTGGGAGTCGGTGGGCTTGAAATGAATATCGATTTCTAGGTGATTGCCCGAGATGGAGACAGAGAGGTCCAGGAAGGGGAGAGAGGTATTAGAGATGGTCCAGCTAAACTTAAGGTTGGGGTGGAAGGTGTTGGTGAAGTGGATGAACTGTTCGAGCTCCTCATGGGAGCACGAGGCGGCGCCGATACAGTCATCAATGTAATGGAGGAAGAGGTGGGGTTTAGGGCCAGTGTAGGTACGGAAGAGGGATTGTTCCATGTAACCTACAAAGAGGCAGGCATAGCTTGGGCCCATGCGGGTACTCATGGCCACCCCCTTTGTCTGTCGGAAGTGGGAGGAATTGAAAGAGAAGTTGTTGAGGGTGAGGACGAGTTCGGCTAAGCGGATGAGGGTGTCAGTGGAGGGGGACTGGTCGGCCCTGCGGGACAGGAAGAAGCGGAGGGCCTTTAGGCCATCTGTATGGGGAATGGAGGTGTAGAGGGACTGGACGTCCATGGTAAAGATGAGGTGTTGGGGACCGGGGAATTGGAAGTTCTGGAGGAGGTGGAGGGCGTGGGTGGAGTCACGGACATAGGTATGGAGTTCCTGGACCAAGGGGGAGAAAATGGAGTCCAGATAGTTGGAGATCAGTTCGGTGGGGCAGGAGCAGGCGGAGACACAACCTTAACTATTTACTGATGTTCTTCTGAGGATTGGGTACACCTGATCCACAGGTCCCTCCATCTGTGTTTGGAAGGATTGGGAAAACCATTCAATGATGCTGGGACCGGTTGTTCCTCCATTTGTGATGGTTGGCTGATGTTTCAGGATTTGCAGTAGTCAGTTTGGGCTTCCCCTCTTGTCTAGGTCTGGTTCAGGTCATCTCACTGAGATGGCCTTCTGGTCAGTTTGATGATATTTGCCACAAGGCACAAGGAGCTAGAGATTCTGCTGTGCAACTTGAGTGTCAGTCAGTTCGAGACACCATTGAAGTGTAAAAATCAGAGAGATCTGTGGTTCCAGGTTGCCCTTTTTATCCTCTTTACGCCTTTCCTGAAGATTCTGTGGCCTGTGTCCAATACTGGCATCAGGCAGGGGCAGGACGATCCAACGAGATGACTACTGTCTGTATTTTGTAGTCAAAGACTATAGTTCTGAATCTTCAACTGTCGAGTATTGTCCATGTCACGTTAAGCCCCTGGCCTCCTACTGAGCTGGGTGCCACCAAATCTGTGTAGCATTCTTCTAACAAAGCAGGTTCGCTGGAGATGTAAACAATGGTTCATTCCGAAACAATGTGGCCATTAGCACATGGCCAGGCAGTTCCATGCTTTTCTGGTTTCTACAGGATTGTCCAAGGCCTCGCTGCATGAATACTGTCTTTTCCAGCTCTGCAGTCTGCAAATTCCAGAGTCCAGCTAGGTTTGCACTTGACTTCCACATTGCGGTTTTTAAATCCGTGCTCCTGAAAAAAATTGTCAGTATTTCTGAAACAATCCTGGGAGGTCATGTGTCATTTGACCACACCAGCAAGAAGATTTTGTGAAGTATCCTTGAGGTGGGTATGTCTCAGAAACAAATTATGGTCTTGGGACCTCACACAAAACTGTTACTTTAGCTGCTCCATTTTAAATGTTAGGCAGGTTGCAGCATAGTCTCATCAATAAAATGTGCTGGAATAACCAATAAAAAGAAGTTTGCAGTGCTAACAACTTGAAACTCCACCCCCAATGCCCAATCCCTCAACCAAATGAAATTTTTCCCATCCCAACATCAATTGTGGTGACGTTACTTTCCCTGTGATGCAAACAGATTTATAAATATTTTCAAAATCATTTAAATTTGGAAGTTTTGAATTAATGACATCTGGGTTTTTCTGCATGTTTGAAGAAAGCATAATAATTAACTTGTAGGTATTCTTGTAGCCGTGGTGATTTCTTTTAATACGTCTTGATAGAGTAGCTTTCAAGGCTGATGTGGTTTTATTTAAGATAACTTAGAGAGGAAGAGAAGCAATTGTCCATCAGATTGCTATTAGAAAATTCTGGAATTTTTTTTTAAAAGCAAATACCTACTTTATTTTCAGTTTTAGAACTGTACTGCAGAAGACCGTGGATAGACATAGATGTAAAAAGACACCCTTTTGAGAAGGGGAGAGGATAGTAAAACCAGATTATTTTAGACTAAGAAAGAGGTCACATGGCACCAGGTTATAATCCAACAGGTTTATGTGATATTACAAGCTTTCAGAGCGCTGCCCCTTCGTCAGGTGAAGTTTCTGACCTTGTCCACCCCAGTCCAACACCGGCACCTCCATATCATTACACTAAGTTTAGCGATAGTATTGGACCAGAAATGCTTGGATAAAACCCTGCAGTGGGTATTTGAACTGGAGAATGCTTAAACTCTGATGTGTAAAAACTCCTGAAAATAGCTATCAGACTTTCCAGACAGGGAGTTGAGATGAAAGTTAACTCAAACCTATCAAGGTGTTCGAAAAAAGATTTCTCTGCAGTGAGAGTATAAGAAGTGCTTTTGGGTTCTGTATAAAGGAATGTTCTGGGATTATTCGGATTTAATTTCTACAGTGTACTTTAAAATTGTTAAAGGCATATTACATAAATAGTTTGGTCAATTCTGTTTCATCTTGGTTTCTTTCCCTTCATATGCTTCAATTTTATTGTTAAAACAAACCTGCAACATTGCATGCTTACATTGCAGTACTCTTGGGCAGCCTTAATCTAAGTCTGACTGCTCACAAGTCCACAGTATAAAAAGTGTTCTTGTCAATCTAGTGTAGATTAGGGCCAAAAATGGGAAGCAGAATTTGGCAGGTAATGCTTTATATATACAGCATGGCATTGATTGTGAAATCTAGTTAACAAACAATCCTTTAGACCATTACTTTTGTTGTCTGCAAAATTGATTATGAATCACAAAAAAAATGCAGACTTTCTTGGACAGCATTCCTGAGAAGTTACTTTCAGTTCCTGTTAAAGTCTGAGACTGGTGAATGAGGAGTTGTGTTCACATGAGAAAATATTCAGTCCGATTTATGACTGACCCAGTGTTATTAGTCAGTTCTTCACCTTCAGAATCGGTAGGAAGCACGTAATTCACACCAGGATGGACTGGTGCTTGCTGAGTTAACTGGAACTACATGTGGCATCAGGGCTCTTCTGCTATTTGAGAGAAACGTGTTAACCAAATGCAAAATTGGAATGAAGTGAAAACGATAGTTTTGTACTTGCCCCGACAGTTTTGTCAGTGTCT